CCCACACTTCTTGAGCAAGTAAGACGTTGACTTGAGTAAAGTTGATAGCTTGGTTAAGATAGGGAGATGACAAACCAGAGGGTTGATGAAATGAAGCGGTAAAAGAAAGAAAGACCTAGAAAGAAAACCTTCAAGGGGAAGGGAAAACTGTTCGTCGGCAGGAAAGAGGGTTTGGGAAAGGGAAAAAGGAAGAAAGGAGAAAAAAAAGAGTAAACTGCTCTCATGTTTGTGATTACCAGACATACACAAAGCCTCGCAAGGAAAAGGTTGGCCTCTCCAAACCTTCCTAGTCCTTGTCTCAGACTGTTGTCATACGCAGGAATTGGTCTGTTCACACTTCCCTAAACATGATTGCTTCTCCTAGATGTGGAATCTCGACGGTTAAAGGAGCCTCGCACTATATCTCAGACTCATCATGCTCGAGATATTAAAAAAATTTTATTTTTATATAATTTAAATTATTTTGAAATATAAATATGATTAATCGAATACAATATAAATTGAAAATTAATTTAAACTATTGTATTTTTATTATTTTAATTTTTTAAAATTTTTTTATATTATTCTATATTATTCTATTATTACATAGTCATATATTTTTTAATTGTATTAATTCTATAAATATTATTATATATATTACATAATTTAATATATCAATATATTTTTTTAATGATTTTAAAATTTTTAAAATAAAGAAATAAATATAATAAAGAACGTATAAATAAATATTGAAAAATAAAAGAACAAATATAATATTATAAAAAAAACAAATTCTTTCTATCAATTGCTATAAATTATTTTAACTAATCCATCAAATTCTATATATAATATAATTTTTAAATATCTGATATGTCTAGATGTTTTATATTTAAATAATCATAGTATAAAATTTTATGTTAACATTAGTTGTATTAATTGCTAATTAAAGTAATTTGTTAATTTTTTTTTTTCTTGTACGAAAAATTTTAGTGGCCAATCAAAAATTTTTGGAAAGCGTATTTAAAAAAATCTCATTTGAAAATGTTTTAACTCCTCTTTCGGCTTTTATTTTTGATTAGAAGCTTTAGACATGGGTATGCTTGCACCTTGTTCTACTGTAGTTCTCTGAATTCGGGGAGGCGCAACACGCTTATGATTTTAAATTTCTAACCTGTTGGATTTTCGTTGTTTACTAAAATTTAGCCGTTGGCAAGGTAAGGGTAAAATTCATGCATTTTACACGACTAGTTCACGAGCTGATCCTTTTGCATTATTTAGAACAAACGACTTAGTAAGGGAAAAAAGGGATTGAAAAAGAAGATGTAAGCGTGAATGTGTATGACTTGTCTTGTTAAGTTGTTAAGAATTGGATAGGAGTAGGATTTCTTTGAAGCCCTCATAATATCATCGAATTCAGTTTTTGGATTAAGGCAATTTAATAAATTATAATTTAGTGTTGACCCTTTCACCCGAAAGGATTGGTATGATGTCAAGGCCCCATCTATTTTTGCAATTAGGAGTATCGGTAAGACCTTAGTTAACCGAACACAAGGTCTAAGTAAGTGTGCCAAATTAAAATTTTTTGATATTAAATCTTGAACAGCTCGCTTTCGACTAATGTGATATAATTATATGAATAGAGAATGCCAATGATGCATTAAAAGGTCGCGTTTTTGAAGTTTCGCTGGCCGATTTGAATAAAGATGAGGAACAAGCATACCGAAAGATCAAGCTCAGAGTTGATGAAGTACAAGGCAAAAATCTATTGACCAACTTTCATGGTATGGATTTTACTTCTGACAAACTGAGATCACTGGTCCGAAAGTGGCAGGTAAGAAATTTTTTGCATGTCTCCTAGGTCAATTCAAACGAAAACGCATAATTCGATTAATAAATTTATAAAATTTAATTATTCAGTCCCTCATTGAAGCACACGTTGATGTCAAGACCACTGATGGCTACCTGTTACGTCTCTTCGCTATTGCTTTCACCAAAAGGCGACCAAATCAGATCAGTAAGACCAATTACGCCCAGTCATCTCAAATTCGTCAAATTCGCAGGAAGATGTTTGATATCATGACTCAAGCGGCTACTTCGTGTGATTTGAAAGAATTGGTGCAAAAATTTGTGCCCGAATCAATTGGTCGTGAGATAGAAAAAGCTTGCCAAGGAATCTATCCACTTCAAAATGTAAGTAAGGAAATTGAGATTAATATTCGTATGATCTTATTGCTGATATTTTCTGTAAACATTTTCAGGTATACATCCGAAAGGTGAAGATCCTCAAGAGTCCTAAATTTGACATTCAAAAGTTGTTGGAGTTACATGGGGATAATACTGACACTGGTTCTAAAGTGGGTGGTGGAAAAGATTTCAAAGAGCCTGAAATTCAGGAATCAGTTTAAAGTATAAATTGTGTTTAGCAATTTAGGAGAATTGACAGGAAAAGCACTGGCTAAAAATAACATTAAACTTTGGTTGTTCTTTTTATAAATAAAAAAAATAATAATAATAATCACGTGACAAGTGAAATGTATTGATGACTCCTACTCGCGATTCATTTAAACCTTTTCATATCTTATAAACTTCGCGTTTTTAACCATATTGACCATTTCACGCTCTTTACGCTGTTACCCGTCTCGATCACACCTAAATAGTATAAATGCGGCCCCAACCACCTGACTTTAACGTTGGTTAAATTGAGATTCTGTTAATGCTGTGTTTCTCGCGAAACGATGAAGTATTGACTTATTTTACTTCTTGATCTAAATTTTTTTATTATAAGGATGTTACCAAAGATAATCTTTCTTTGCTTCAATCTAAAATTAAAGATGCCTTGAAGAGAGCATCCTTTATCTCTTTGGATACGGAATTTACAGGTCTCGGGGGTAAAGAAGCGAACACTAGAGCCTCGTAGGTGTCGTTTCGTTAACTACTATAAAGTTGTGTGGTGTCGACTTAGTTCTCTCTGAGATCTGTTTTTGTGTTTTAAATCATGACAGGAACATTGAAGAAAGATATGAAAATTTATGCAAAGTTGTCAAAACTCATGCCTTGGTGGCCTTCGGCGTAACAGTTTTCGAAGACGCAGAATGTGAGATACCAGTGTCACGTGAAAAGCAGTATAAAGTTTCTAATTTCAATTTTACCTTGCTGAGTCAAGTAAGCATAATGATCTTTTGTCAAAACGTTCTTTATCGCATTGTTTTATTCTAATGAGTTTAAATTTAGGTTGACTATGTTGTAAGCCCGCAGAGCATAGAATTCTTGTCTGATAGCGGGTTCGATTTTAATAAGCAAATTCGAAGAGGTATTCCATATACGCCCGGGAGTAGTCAGGTCAATGAACTTCACGGTTTACATAGTATTTTTCGTAGTTGACTTTCTAAATCGTAATTCTTATTTATATAATAGTCATCCAACGAATTAAGCGTTCATAATGCAATTATGCGCTCGATATTTTCAGATATTCTGTCACAAAAGGTTCCAATAGTCATACATAACGGATTTCTTGATTTGATTTACCTTTACTATTCATTTTATGCTGATTTGCCACAAAATCTGAGTACATTTGTCGCCGACTTATCTGAAATGATCCCGGGTGGTATATTCGATACAAAGTACGTGTCCGAATATGTAACAGGAGAAAGCGTCACTTTTCTGGCGTATCTGTTTAGGAAGTAAGTTTTATTTATTAAAAACTGGAAAAAAATTTTTTATACATATAAGCTAAAATTTCTATAATCACAATTTGATTTGCCCCAGATACGAAAGAGAGCAAGTGGATCACAAAAATTCTTGTAGCAAGGATTATTTATTATTGAGGATCCAAGAGGGCAATCTTCATCCTACAATTCAGGGACATTCAAATTTGATGCCAAGTGAATATCACGAAAAAGCAGAGAATGAGTCGACATCTTCTAAGCGTCCTCTCGTGCAACGTTATTGCGAACAATATGCTGTAGGTTTACTTTATTGTTTGGAATATCGCATCAAGACTTCACAATTAACATTCCTCGTTGGTCCACTCAATTAGCTTCGTGGGTTTTGTTCGCAGCGGATGAGGTGTGGAAATTCTCATGATTTAGATTTTATATTAGATGAACAGGCAAAAGCAGTCAAAGTGAAGCGTAAGCGTCGCAAAAACAAGAATCAAGAGGGCGAATCAACCAAGGTTCACATAAATGAAAGGGACACTATTGATACATCTCAAACAGACCCTAGTGGTCAATCTTCGGAATATGTTTCTGCATCAATGCCTCCAACTCTTTTGCCTTCCACAAAGCCCGACCAGTTTGATAATTTTCACTCAGCTCATTATGATGCTTATATGACTGGATTTATTTTTGCACGACAATTGTTAAAATTTACAAGCACGACGGTTTTGAGTCAATATAAGAACAAGCTATATCTCATGGGTAAAAATTATCCACTGTTGATTGAAAAAAGCGAGTTTGCAAAGACGAGCATTCAACATCAAGAAAAAGGAAAATAGTGTTCTCATCAGAAGGAATCTCTTTCACGAGGATTTTTTTTCTTTTTTTTTTTTGAATAGCGTTAAAGACCAAACTGTTTGCTACACGAAGCATCTTTCGAGCTCCGATTAATAAATATCAAAGCATCAATTTAGGGTACTGCTTACATTACAAAATGAAGGCTTGATGCCCTGTGAATAACTGTTTGGTGTATGATTAAATCTAGCACGTTCAAAATGTGTACTGAATGAACCTTAGTCATAGAATTTAATATGATAAATTATATTATTTTTTAAAAAATAATATTTCGACCAAGCTTTAACCCGAATCCAAATTTAGTTAGTTTTCTAAAAATGAATTGATTTTCTAAATTTTTTAAAAATAGATTTATTAAAAATAAATTATAAAAATTATTTGCCAGATAATCTAATCGTCTAATCGTAAAACTTATAAAATGACTAACGTATACGAAAAGTACGAAAGTCCCTTGACCTCCAGATATGCCTCACCAGAGATGGCAAATCTCTTTTCGCCCGCAAAACGGTATTACACGTGGAGATTGCTTTGGTTGAACTTGGCCAAAGCTGAAAAGGAATTGGGTATTGGTGGTATTAGTGAAGAGGCCATTCAGGAAATGGAAGCACACTTGGTAAAAATAGATTGAGGTGAAATGTAATTATTAGTAATAACAATTAATACTTCATATAATATCTGTCAAATTTCACAGAATTTAACCCAACATGATTTTGAAGTAGCCGCTGTCGAAGAAAAAAAGCGTCGCCATGACGTTATGGCACATGTATACGCTTTTGGTTTGGTCGCTCCAAAAGCTTCTGGTATTATACATTTAGGTGCCACAAGCTGCTACGTAACTGATAACGGAGATTTAATTGTAATCAGAGAAGGTCTAAAATTATTACTGGAAAAATTGACTCGAGTTATTGATCTATTTAGCAAATTTGCTAACAAATATAAAAGTTTGCCTACCTTGGGATTTACCCATTTTCAACCTGCTCAACTAACTACCGTTGGAAAAAGAGCAACTCTTTGGATCCAGGTTAGGATTATTGAAATCAACAGGAAAAAAGACATTTTAAGTTCACTATTTACGAACTTACACTTGAATAGGAATTATTATGGGATTTAAGGAACATCACGAGAGCAAAAAACGATATTGGATTCCGTGGTGTAAAAGGTACCACGGGAACTCAAGCTTCATTCTTGGCTTTGTTCGACGGTGATCATGATAAAGTAAGTGATTTTCATTGATGCTTCTAAAAGATATTATGAACTCACAGATGAATCTTTTGCTTTGATATAAATAGGTAGAAACTTTGGATAAGCGTGTCGCTGAACTCTCCGGATTCGATGAACTGTATCCGGTGACCGGACAAACATACTCACGTAAAATAGATGTTGACGTATTAAACGCGTTAAGTTCATTTGGTTCCACGGCACATAAGATTGCTACGGATATAAGATTATTAGCTAATCTTAAGGAAATTGAAGAACCATTTGAGAAAGATCAGATTGGTAGTTCAGCGATGGCTTACAAGAGAAATCCAATGAGATGTGAAAGGGTCTGTAGTTTATCGAGGCATCTCATGATTCTTGCACAGGATGCTTTGATGACCAATAGTGTTCAATGGTTAGAAAGAACATTGGACGATAGGTGTGTGCACATGATTAGCTCTGTTTAATTCGTTGTTTTTCCGCACGTGTTAATTTGTATGGATTGTAAACCCTATAAAACCATTAATTTATCAAGTGCAAATCGACGTATCTCGATTCCCGAAGCATTTTTAACAGCTGATATCATTTTATCACTGCTACAAAATATTTCCGAAGGATTTGTGGTATATCCCGAAGTGATCCAACGTCACATCATGCAAGAATTACCATTCATGGCTACCGAGAACATAATCATGGCGATAGTCAAAAAGGGTGGTGATAGACAACAATGTCACGAAGAAATTAGAGTTCTGAGTCACCTTGCGGCCAGTAAAGTTAAAGAAGAAGGCAAAGAAAATGATTTGATTGAAAGAATCAAAAGTACTGAATATTTTAGACCCATCTGGGAAGAGGTACAAGTTCTTTTATTTATATGAATTGGTATTTATTAAATATGGTTACTTTTTTATTTATCGGTGAGCCCTTAATTTTTTTGTAGCTTGACTCTCTATTAGACCCAAAGACGTTCATCGGACGATCTCCACAACAGGTTGACAAATTTCTGAGAGATTATGTGGAACCTGCATTAAAACCATACGAAGAAGTATTAAAACAAGAAAAGCAAGTAATACTAAATGTTTAAAAAATGTACATATTATTGATGCATACATAAAATGTTTGGATTATTTGATTTATGTTATTGGAAGACATTGTGAGATATCATAAATCTAGTTATTATTGGAAGGTAAAATAATTATATAACAAAATTTGTGTAGAGTTGTTAAATTTTTTTTGAAAATTTAAAAAGTTTTAATCAAATATTGTAAATCAATTATATACAAGTTTTATTATACAATCTCATATTTATATAATAATCTGTATATATAAATAAGTACATGTATAATAAATAAAAATTATAAAATAAATGATTAAAAATCCAATTAAATTAAAATTAAATTATTGAATTTATTAACCAATCATTATAAAATTAAAAAATATCTAGAAAAAATACATTAAGAAGACAATCTAATAAATTACAAATATATATTTTTTAAAATTTAATGAATTTACCAATATTGAATTAAGCGCAGACAACAGCAACTGTATTTCCACAGCTTGGACACCGATGAACTTTATCCTGACAACTCGACATATAAAATGGCAACCACGCAAGTGGCCAGAATAAAAAACACAAGATAATAGTGTAACAATAGGTGGTCGATCCGGGAATTTCAAACACTTGAGTAGTTATATAATTACCACACCGCGGGCAATACATGCTGACAGGAGCCAAATCGATCGGGAGTTGTGTAGGAAGGATATTATTTTGAACAATGTAACACACTGTAGGTTCTTGTTGATAAACAACCGATGGTTCGGGATTTTGAATACTTTCTGCATTCGACGCAGTTTGTGGTATATGAGTGGCACTAGGCAAAGTTACAGATGACGTATACGGAGGTGGATCACCATTCGGGACATTTTCTTCTTGTGGGCTTTCCGATTGTGTCATTTTATAAGATGGATCTTGCACGAAAACTCAAAAAACCAATGAGCCAGGTGAGAGAATGCAAAAGTTTAACAGTGACCAAAACCTCTGAATTCAGATTTATAAGTGATGTACTATGTGCCAATGACTTCTCTATTGGTTTTTTTTCTAAGGAGTTTGAACCAACGATTTATTACAAATAAGGAATTCAGAATCTTCTTTCAAAGTATATCAGACTTTCCAATTCAGGTAAAAATCGCCCGTAGAAATATTTCTTCCTTTACTATCGCTAGTTCCTGGACATAACGGATGATAATTCAATCCGTTGCTATACCCAACATTGGAAATTCTTATTATGAATAGAAGATCGGGATAGATCGTTATTAAATTAATTCATAGACTACAGACCAACACTACATATAATTTTAGTAAACTTATCCTCTTAGCACCTACAATTATTCATCCTGATTTTCTACACTTTGTAATTTTGTTTCCTTCAATAATGCTTCGAGTTCCTTTCTTCTTTTAGTGGCCGCCTCGAGTTTTGCTTTGATTTCCGCATTTTCCCTTTCCCTTGCTTCATATTTCTTTTGCAATTGTTCTTCAAGCTCTTTTCTCCGTGTGGCAGCTGCCTCGAGTTTTGCCTCAATTTCTGCATTTTCTTTTGCTTGTTCTTCAAGTTTTAATTTTAGTTCTGAAATATTTTTTTCATGCTCTTCTTTTTCTCCTATATCAATAGTTTCCATGCGTTTTTCGAGATCTTCAACCTCTGCTTCATGAAGGGTTTGCTCGGGTGCTCCATCTTGTGCTTCATCTTGTGTTTCATCTTGTGTTTCCTCGTTTTCTATTTCCTGCTCACTTAGGTCATTATTCTGCTTGGCTATAATTTCTTCCATATGTAAAAGGAATCGCATGTAAATGTATTCGTGAGAAAGTGGTCATACATGATCACGAATATAGAATAAATTCGAATTGTGTCACGCCGATTATTATTATCTAAAATTTTGACACTTCGATCAAATGTCAAAAAATGAAGTACTTTCTTTGTGCACAAAATTACGTCCACCCTTATTTATATATGAAACTTCTGCAATTGGTATTCCTTAAGTTTTCCTGAGAACTATATAAAAATAATAGTTGGTTAACAATTGAAACCTTTTTTCTAGATCAGTCTTTGCAACAAGTGAAGACTCGGTCAAAATTAGCATTAGAGGACTTGCAATATCTTATCAAACAAGCAACGGCAGAAAACAATTTGTCACATAAAATTGACGATGAGACGATTCAAGAGGTTATAACGTCATGCGAAATATTGATTGGTGTAGATTTATGGATTAACTTGGATCTCAACGATCCTGCTAACGGTGAGTAAAGAATTGATTGATAATTTGATAATTTTATTCCATTTGTGAATTGACTGATTCTTTAATAATTTATTTAGAGGTTATTGAGTTATTAGCGATGCTAGAGCCAATGCGATTTCCTACTGCAAAGCGGATGATAGAAACATTTATTCCAAAAATCTTGGAAAAATCAATAAAACCGATATTTTTGAAATATTCGAAGATACGAAGTGATAAACTTGATGGTAGGTCATCAAAAAAACTACTGTTAGACCATGACAATATGAATGAGCCATGGCGAGGAGAAGTGGCACAAGCTTCTAGTTTACTTTACTGCTGCGTACTTCATATGAAGGTATGTGTTTATTGATTGATTGGATTTATGGTTTGAATTTTAAATCATTACCTTCTTTGCTTCATTATTCAAAAAGAGTTCAGAAATAGAGACTATGCTCGGTCTGATTGTCCCACCAATGCTGTCACTTGTTGATGACTATGACATAAGACTCAAGACTCGGGGTGTATCTATACTAGATTATCTATTGAAAGAAGCGAAACCAGAGGTCATTCAACGGTCAGGATTGGGTGATGTTTTTTATGAGGTTCATTTTCTTAAGTAATTATTAAATTTACATTATTTTTACGCAAAATTAATCTACGAAAATTTATAGGCACTAGTTAATTGTCTCAGTTACCAAAACGAAACTTCATACGTACCCTTCTTACGTTTGAGTTTCTCGACGATAATTACGCTGGTTTCGTCAGTCGAACCGATGGCAGAAAAATCTAAGCACTCAAAGTATGAGAAAATTCTATCAAATAGTGTTGTCCGAGGTTTCGTTTATTCAGGAGACAAGATAGCAGTGCGCCAGGTTCTGTTGGAACAAGTTCCACGGCTTGCAGAAAAATTAGGAATCGTAACTGTTAAATACTTGCAGGTATTTCTAATGTTTTGTTTTTTAATTCGGTGATCTCACATGTTCTAATTAGTATGAAAATAAATGTAAAGGATTTGATACATAATCTTTGCGCCACCTTAGAAATCGCGTTAAATGTTCCTAACAAAACACAAATATTGAATTTGCATTTAACGGCCGCGAAAGGGATCGAATTGCTAGTAATCAAATGTTGGCCAAGGTAATATAAATAAAAAACAAATATTCATATCGATCTTTTTATACAGATTTTAATGATAAGCGTTTATATCACAAGGATACCCCAATACGCAGGTAAAATTTTGAAATCCATTGCAACCTCTTGGTGCAACGTAATTCGTCTTGAGCAGAAAGGTAATTAAAGATTATAATTCAGGAATAATAACCGTACATCTTTAATGCTAATTCAACGATACTACAGATTTTGATCTATTAGATGAAATCTGTAAAGAAAACATTACATCACTTAAAGCCAAACTAAGAAAATTGTGTCAGCTCCTAAAATTAGCGTGTGTTGATCATAGTGTCATTGAGGTTTGGATTTTTTTTTGTTCTTTCTTAGTGAAAGGATCAAACCATTTCCATTAATATTTTGCCTTTTTATTGATTCGCAGAATGACATTAAGGCTCTAATAGATCTAGATTGTCAAATGTTTGAACTGTTGTTTGTGAATTCATTATAGTGAAAGTGTTGTATGGAAGACTAGAATAGTTGGAGCAAAACTTTGTCCCCAAGTTTATGATCAGTTATTAGAACCAATCTATTGCTTTATTTCATAACAAGTTTTTTTCTATTATAAAGATTATTGACAAACAAAATTTGTTATAGTATAAAGTTGAGGATCGAGCAGCTTTTGTGGCGAATTAGGTCATAGTGCCGCGGCCATGTATTTTATATATACTGTATACTTGCGTTCAATAATTAGTTAAGTAATTAAAAAAAAAATAAACCTATTGTTAACAATTAATTAAAAACAAAAAATTTTAGTATGATTTGTTAAAAAGCTAATAGAATTCTATTTTATTTCAATATTTGATCAAAGTTTAAAATTAATATATTTTTTATAATAATTAAATATATCATATATTCTTTTAATAGAAAAGATTTATTGCCTTTATTAATACCTACCACAGTGTGTAACAAAACTTTTTGAAATTTTTTTATTAAAAAGATATAATATCATATTTATTATTAATTAATTTTTTAAGTTTATCATATTTAAATTTATAAAGTTATAGAATTTTATATTTTATTTTTGATATTATAAAAAAAAAAGGCTTTAAAATTCAAAAATTTACAAATTAAAATTATTAAAAAAAATTTTTTTAAAAAAGAAAAAAATTTATATATGAAATTAAGAATTAAAATTTACAAAATTTGAAAATTTGAAATAAAATTTTTATTTGTAATTGATTTTTGATACTCAAAAAATTGAATTTCAAAATTAAAAACTTTTTTTTGTTTCCTCTACTTTTTTAAAAAATTTTAATGAAACAAGTTTTGAGAGTTTCTTGTCAAGTTATCTTTTTCTTTAAAGAAACTTTTTCCCTTTATTATTATTAAAAACAAAAAAAATTTTTTTAAAAAGATTACTGATTGTATATTTCCTGCTACAACCTAAGATATTTAGGTCAAATAATCTTAAATATTATATGTGAAAAATCAAATTCTAGACTTATTAAATAAAAGATTGGGTTTTTCTTTTTTAAAATAAAAAATTATCTTTGTCAAAATCAATACAACAAACTTATCATATCTCAAATATTGCTACATATAAATCAACTTTAAAAGTTTGGTTGAAAAGAATCAAACTGTATAAGGATAGGACTCTTGATCAGATTTATCAAGACTAATATATTTTAATAATAAAGATTACATAGAGAAAGATCTTTGATTTGATTTTTTTTTTGCTTATATATAGTATATAGATGCAGAAAAATCAAAATCAATTTATTCCCTTTAAAAAATCAACTGATTTTTTTTCTTCAATCATATTTCATAAAAATCATATCATTAATTATCACTATTATGACTATACATGTTGCTGAAATTCGTAGATTCTTGATGCAATTGATGCAATTATTTGACGCAATTAATTGAGTCACTATTAAAACATATAAATAATTGAGTTATGATGCAATTATTTTTGAGAATTTTAGGAATTGAGTTAATAGCAAAATAATTTACGTCACATATATAATTATGACAATAATAATAACAAATTATAATAATAACAAACAATAACAATTCATTACATATTAATAATCCATTTATAATTTTGAAAAAATTAACAATATGGATATCATATATGGTATCATTATAATTTTTAAATGGAATACCATATATGTAAGAGTTGTATTTTGCTTAATATTTTTGCCTCTAGATTTGACAGCTTAAGTCAACTAAATCTTTTGAAATATTTATTAGAATATTTTGAAGTCACATTCTATTTGGCCTTAAGATCTTTAGATTTGATAATTAGTGTCAATCAAAGATTACAATTTTGGAACATTTACTAAAAAGTATATATTTACATTTAATTTCTCTGAATCCATAATTATATAAGTTGAAGTTGTAATATAAAAAGTTATTTATTAATTATTAACATATATTAAATCAATTTTTTTTCTTTTTTTCTTTCATTAATATTTTTGAGTAGAAATCTTAGCTATTTGATATCATCTTTAACATATAATAGTTTTAATATTTGTTTTTCTTATTGTTTAGATAACTATATATAGGTATACTAGTATTAAACTTATTAACTTATTAAGTTATATAAAAGATATTATTGCTTTCTGTATATAATTTTATTATTAATAAAGTGATAAAAGTTTTTCTATAAAAAAAAAAAATGAATTTTAAAAATGAATTTTAAAAGTTTAAAAAATATTTTTATATAAAATTTATATCATTATAGTCTTTGGATTTTAAGCTTTATCTTAATATATTATTTATTAATTTTTATGTAATAATTTTTAAATAACAGGTAAATAAAAAATTTTAAGATATCAAAAAAAAAAACTCTTTCTTATTCATATTATTATTCTTAAAAAAATTTTTTTTTAGGAAATATACTTTTTTTCATTTGAAGAAAAACATTTTATATTATAAATATACTGAAAGAAACTCTTTTTATATTAGTAACATTATACTGTACTTTCTCTGAAAATAAACTTTTGCTGATAAAAAAGTTGCAAGGCCAAAAGCAAAAGTACCATTGAAGTTGTTGTTTGGCTTCTTGATGATCAAAGTTGAGTGGTATTTCTTTTACAACTAGAAGATATAAGCTAATAAATATAAAGACATTTCATGTATACAAAATTCAAACAGAAAGTCTTAAACAAACATTACAATATTTTTGGTTCTTTTCTTTTTTGCTTTTATCTGTATGCAGTGTTAAGACTTTATTGTTTAGATCTTGATACTAAATAGGCTGAACTTTATTTGATTATAATAGATAGCAATAATGATACTTCACTTAAATCAAGAAGCAAATGGCAAATCCTAGTTAAAGATTTTTTAAACTGGTTAGGATCAACAATAAGGTATAAAGAGATAAGTGATTATATATATATATAGTAAATACAATAGTATATAGACAGGTTTTAAGTAATTTTTTCTGATATGTAAGTACAAATTTAGAAAAGTCTGCAGGTTTAAAGAGATTTTTCTGCAGTATATAGATTATACACTATACCAATCATATTCCCTCACCTCTACAATTTTTTAAAAATTTTATATCTGCTAAGAAGTCAAAGAATTACTTATCAAGGTTCTTTATATTGAATAACATAGTGGTCTTGTTAGATAAGTCTTGACAAATTAGTTGTTCTTCTATACTATACTTTTTCTTACATATCTGGGAAGATAATGTGAAGTTAGAATTTTTCAGAATGACAATAAGTTGTATAATAAAAACTAGTCTTGTATTACATCTAACTAATTCTAACAAGTTATCTTTTGATTTAATCATTTATTGATTAGTTTTATAAGCATATATATTCATAATAAAGATTTATACCAGTAGCATAAAAATAAAATAAAAATAAAAAATTTTAAAAAAATTTTATTATATATTATATTTAATAGTTTTAATAAATAAAAGTTATATATTGGAAATGGTTTCTCTCTATCTAAGATAGTGGACTTTTCTAGTGAAAACTTATTCTTGGATGTTTTAGTTGGTAGATACACATCTCTTCTTATTACAAACCTGAAAAACCATGATTAGCTTTACCCCTCCAAAAGATCAGCAAAAGATGATCATGTTATATTGGCTACCAAGCCACCAATATGAATAAAACTGTAGTCATCAATCCAACTGGCATGGCAGACTCCATTGCAAGAAGCATGTTAACTTATTTAAGCAACTTTGAAGAGGATCATCGTATGGCACCAATTATGGAAAACTACCATGGCTTTACAAGAGTTGTGCCCTGCTTGGTATTTGTACCCCTATATTTGATAGCTAAAGCTAACCAAAAGTCTATAGAGTATCCACTGGAGGATTTAGAAGTCACATCCCACTAGGCCTATAGGTCTTCAGATTTGATAATATGTGCCAATCATAGGAACAACTTTTAGAACATTTACTAGGAAGTGTAAAATAATAAGTCCATGAGTACCATGAATTGTGCAGGCAGATGGTAGGAATGTGAAAAGGAACTTAATAATAACTAACATGCTAAATTACAGTTGGACCTTTACAAAAACTGGAGACACAAGTTCAGATGGTTTAAAACTGGAGGCAAAATTTCTATTTTTTTGATGCCTTCCTTCTGGCATGTAAATCTATCCACACAATGCAGTCGATATATTAGGATAAAAAGGCAATAGGCTAGCATTAACTTTAATAGATGCTTAATGTAATGACAGTACTATCACTTAATAAATAAAGTCTTGCATTTTATACTTATTTGCAAAAAAAAAATAAAAGTTATAGTATATATATATTATATATATATATATTTTTGCAAATAAATACTAAATACAAGATATTTATTAAAGTTTTATTTTTCTATTATTACATTAATGATCTCTAATATACAAATAAGTAGATTAATCCTAGCCTATTGCAAATAAAGTTAATATATGTGAACCTTTGAAAATCCAAATAGAGAAAAAAGAAAAAAAGGTAAAAAATAGCTAGCTACTAATTGTATTGTAAATCTTACATATGTGCTTTATAAGTGATAATAGTGAAAAGAGATGCAATACTTGGATTTTGAATTATGGTCTGGACCTATATAACCATATGGCCAAAGAGAATATAATTATGGGTCAATAATATTGTCCAAATTGGTAACCCAGATACCAATATGGTATGATTAACTTACATAAATCTTTTAACAGGAGTAAGCTGCTCATAGTTTTTTGTTATAGAAAATTTGGAAGCTGGATAAAACAAGAAGACAGTCTTGTAGTCATTTTTCTTAAATAGTATATAAAATAATAATATTTTTAGATATTCAAGATAGAGTTGCTTATAATTGTATGCTTCTGATATACTGGTTAGCAGTCTAGATTCTCAGTAAAGCAAATCCTTATACAATCAGTACTGCCAGTCAAATTTTTTTCTTTTATAATCTTTTCTTGTATTTGATTGACTTGACATATAGTTATTAATTATAAAAAGGCATGCTTAAAACTTTTAAGATAGTAAGATCAATGGTTCTCTTA